GGGAAACGGGAGAAAAATAAATAAACAGCGAGATTTCGAGAGAAAATAAAAATAAAGAAATAAAGAAATAAAGAAATAAATAATAAAAATAATTAAAGAAATAATTAAAGAGATGTGAAGGGAAACAATATCTATTTTTTTGAAATTTTCGGCAGCATTTCCCTACCCCCCACGGGGTCAAGAATGTGCCAAGGGAAAAGGAGAGACCAAGGTGAGCACACTAGGAATGCCGCAAATAATATAAAAAAAAAGAAATTTCAGAAAATAAATAAAGAAATAATGAATAAATAAATAAGTAAATAAGTGTGTGAGGAGGTGGGGAGAAATGGGTTATCTGATTTTTCAAAAATTTTGGCAGCATTTCGTCAAGCCCATGGGGTCGAAGTGTGCCAAAAAGACTAAGTAAGAGAAAATCAGAAAATTTCGGCAGCACTTCGTTACCCCCACGGGGTCAGAACGTGTGCTGAGAGCAAGAAAGGCTAACACCTAGTGTGAGCGTGCCCTAAGTCTTTATTGGGAATTTCATATTAGATCCATGGCAGAGGTATGAAGTCGGTTTCATATCAACAGTGAGCCGAATCACAGATGTTTTTCACAAACATGAAGGCGTGAGACCCTGAGGCAAACTGCTCAGAGCCCGAGTTTCAGTACAAAAATGCAAAGGAAAAAAACGTAAAGAGTACACTCACACCAGGCAAGGTCCCACTTGCACGGATTAAGATATTCTGGCTGTCGATCTTTTCTATCTACGGTCAATATCGCTTAATTCGTGTAAGTGGGACCTAGCCCCAGGCCCGCAAAATCACAAAATCACAAAATGAGCGGCCAGATCGAGTCGTTCGTTTACAAGGACTCAATCTGGCCGGTCATTTCGCGATTTTGCGATTTTGAGGGTCTAATGTGAGTATGCCCTAACAGTGATTGGAGCCAGTCCCAGCAGGAAAGAGAAGGAGAGAGAGACGACACTAGGAGAGAGAGAGAGACAAGTTGACGATGTTTTACCAAGTCCACGCTTTGACTCGGCAAGAATAACAAATCGGCAACTCCATGTCCGGAGGCCAAGTCCCACTTGGCACTTTGGCCGATGCTTCATTCCTGGCCGCTGATCTTGAGAATCTACTGTCAGAAATGGAGGCCCTGGCATATTCTTTCCGTCAGGCAACAATAACGTCAACACGCCGGAGGGAAGCTGTTCTGACATTCAGACCACTAGGCAGAAATCACATTGCGTCAACATCCGCTGGGACCACCGAAGTGCTTTGTTTTAACTAAACAGTCGAATACGCCACTGTCCTTGGAGTCATCTGTCAAAACTTACAATTGGAACGACACAGAGAAGACTAACAAAAGGCCCCTGTACAATCTAGTCAAAAGGGGGGGATGACACCGCGACGCACATCGAATCGAGAAGAAAGAGCATGACCAGATACCTTTGTTTAGCTCAAGGATGCGACACACGCGCACGGGAGCTGCTGCCTCTCTCACCGACCATTGTTGACAGTAAAAAATAAAAATAAAAATAAATAAAAAAAATCAGGACCAGGACGATGGATTTTCAGAAGGCACGCATACTCTCGTCTGTCTACGAGAAAGAATGTCCCGCAGTGAATGCGATGCGGGAGGAGAGGAGGAGGACGAAAAGGAGGAAAATGACGATGCACCTACAAAGGAGAGGAGGGGCATAAGTGCAGAGAGGCATCAAGACGTAGAGAAGAGGAGAAGAGGGAGACGAAGAGTGATAAGCATTGGACGAGCCTCGCGTGTTCGTCTCGATACAGGCACCCTCATGTTTGACATTGCGAAGAAGAAGAAGAAGAAGAAGAAGAAGATGAAGAAGAAGAAGGGCACCTTCATGATTGAGTAGGACGACGACGACGACGAAGACGAAGAAGAAGTGGAGGACGAGGAGGAGGAGGAGGAAGGAGGAGAAGAAGAAGAGGGAGAAAGAGAAGCAGAGGGAGAAAAAGACGAAGAGGAGTAGGAGAAGGACGAAGAAGAAGAAGAGGAGGAGGAGG